GGCTAACAATTCAGGAAAATTTAGTGTGAGAATGGGGTAAAAGAATTAAACAATCACGCTTCTTGAAAGGAAATATCGTAACAGGAATAACGGCCGTATGTCGTGTGGGTGATTTCCTTGGACAATTGACAACCCATTTTGGTTATGTCAGGCAATACTTATTCTATAGAACAAGATTGCTACAAGGAATCTTCGCCAAGATTATAACTGTAATAACCCTAAATGGAAGTCACTTCTAAACTGGATTACCTTGATAAGAAAAAGTACCTAATATCCTTTTAAAGTTAAGAGGCACACATTTTTTACGAACGATTTAAGAGACTCGAGAATTAATATTTACAAGTTATCCCTATTTAAGAGTAGCATTTACAACGTCTAAATTTTTCTTAGCTAGTTTATTTCACTGAATTAGTCTTCTGCTTTGTCACATTCGCAATAGAGATCCTATAAAAAATTAGGAGTTTGCTGTTTGTACTGTCATGCCCGACTGTACGTATAGCAAAACCCAAAAATTAGAGTATTTTTATTTGGATATTGATGTTACAAGCACGTTAGGTGGACTCAAAATTTTTCCTTACCGTGATATTCTCATATTGGAAAATAATGAAGGTATTGAAATGTTAAGTACGGTTACAACCATTTTTACCTAGGTGAGGCAGTGACTATAAGGAATGAGTCTTTTACTTAAATCCTTCCACAACAAAATTCCTCCTCAAATGAGCTCTTACTTTGATATTACTATTATTAGCACGTTACGTAGATATAGCTATTGAAATTGGCATATAACACCTCTAGTGCATTCTACAAATAGCAATTTACGTGGAAACCAAATAAAATGACTTCAAATACATGCGATATTGATGTCTAATTAAAAGAAAATTAAGTTCATATTTTGTCTTCAACGAATTCTTTCTGTAACTCAAATTTTTATCTCTGAATTTTTAATAGAAGCAAAAAAGAACAAATGGGAGAAATAGAAAGAGAAATGAAGTCTAAATTTTGCTGACCTACTCCATTTAACAAAGCCTCTACATCTAGATGAAGCTCTTCATAATGTCAATTTTTTCTTGCCACATCAGGTAGAGTAGTCCCACTTAGATTGCATTGAAAATGGATTTTTGTAGATATTGTCTATTTTTGCTTATTAACAATTTGTTATGTGATTCATATTAGCATTGAATATGCTCTTATAAATTGGGCAGCCTTCTAGACTTATTTAATTTATACTAGACCTTGTACGAATAATGTTAATTTGAAAATTAGACATTATAAATATCTTTATATTCAATTGACTATTTCATATACTACTACTAACTACTATAATATAAGAATTATTATTGTAGCGAAAATCCCTCTATAAATTTTGATTTCGGGCTCAAAAAACAATCAAACGAATACCGATTTACCTCGACTTGACTGAAGACTTTCGCCTTCACTTTGGACAGCCCTCTTTGCCTCTCCGGTGACTCTCTATTTAGTGTCCACAAAGAACATGTGGTGGTGACTACAATGGAAGAAAGAATGGACAACAATGGTGAAAATCTCTCTCCCTTTTTCCCCAAGACCGGCTGCCCCCTTTCACTCACCATTGCACGTTCAATCACCCACACAGAAAATTGCTGGAATAGATGGATATATATAGGTATAATTTAGATCACTCCAATTGGGTCTAGAGTTCAATAAGAAGGCTACCAATTAACCTAAACTAATGGGTCAATTTCAACTCTATATTAATCACTAAATGGTCCAACTAACCAAATAATCATCCAACCCAAACCCGAGCCATCCAAAAGTGTAGTTCGTCTCCGTACCGAGCCAACTCCATGGTATCGATAAATAATCCGACGACTGTTTTAAATCATCGCCCGAATTATTGGGTATCAAAAAACTCAACAATTACTCATCAACAAATTTGCATATCATTAATAAGTTAAAAAACCCAATAAAAAAATCAGATGAACTATGTAGTTAACTTGGTAATTTTGTTCAAGGAATTCACATTAACTATAGTTAGCATTGTGATAGGGTTTTTTCTCTTAAAAATTACATTAAATATAATTAAGTGGTAAACTCCGGTAGTCACTCATGACTCAAGTAAAAATTCATTATACGTTGCGTGACAATATGTGCTTTCACCAACCTTAATTGCGTCGATAATGTTTTTAAAATCAAATGTTGTAAGAGCTTTCTGAGTGCTTTAGATTCATGAACTTACGGAAATGGACCGTGGAACATAATAATATGCAATTAATGCTATTTTTGAAAAATAAAGTATTAATTCAATATTTAATTAAAAGGTAATATTAATTAATGGATAAAGCTACATTTATCTACACATTTTTACCGAATCTTTTACCTACACTTACAATAGGAGGGCGGGTCCCACAAGCCAGAATTTTTAAAAGCACGCAGGGCCCGCGCGCATGTGAGAGTAGGGCACTAATTCGGTACATATATATTATGAAATAATGAAAAATAATAATTTCATTAATTTTTATTTAAGGAAAAATGATTTTTTTTTTTTTTTGGGGGGGGTTTTTTTTGGTGGGGGGGGGGGGGGGGGGCAATAAAATTTACACCAAAGGTATAAAACTTATATTCATTTTTTTTTCGAATTGCTAGTACAGAAGTAAATATGAATAATAATAATGGTATAATTTATTAGATATGAATAATAATAATGGTATAATTTATTGTAATCCAGACTTTTTATTAACTATTAAAGATTTTTCAGATATATATATATATATATATATATATTTTCTCACAATGTTTTGATATTATTTCAATCACACATTCTTCAATAATATAATTTTACACACAAATTCAAAAAATTTTATTATTTTTTAACCACACATTTTTCACTAATATACTATTCAAAAATTTATACCTATGAAAAGAATCATAATATCATCTGAAAAAATATGATTCATAGCAAACAAATAAATATCATATTTTTGAAAATACTTATAATGGATGTGGAAAGAATTAATAGAATTAGAAAAATTATTAATAAAATAAAGATAAAAATTTGTAATTAAGTTGATATTTGTAACCAACAACACCACCCCTAATTCCTTATTTATGATTTCAAATATATTTTGATAAAAAATTTACATAGAATTTCCTTCAAGGTTTTCAAAATTTATTAAAAAATAAAATATAAAAACCTTTTTTGAGAATTTTCTTAGATTTTCAATTTTTTGAAACTAATCTGAATATACATTTTTTGGGGACTGCGAGAAAGCAGGCCAGGGAAGGAATATATAATGATTTGGCCTTTAAGCGGGTCAGGTTTGAAGCCAGATCCAATATAATTATCCAAACGGACCAAATCCAACAATACTATTCAACATAAACCTTATGACTGGCGAGTTTAGGCCTCTAGTCGATATTTTCAATTGTAAAGAGAAATTGACACTAGTAGCACTAAAGTTATGTTATTAACGTTGTCAACATTTCCTAGACTTTCGCCGTAATACTTCTTTTTTAATGTAAATACACATTTTAAGAATTATTATTATTATTTTGGTTTTAAATGGCCCAGTTCATATATATATATGAGTGGTGAATAAGTGAACATTAATCATATGGATAAAAGTAACTTGTTTATAAGCATTAACCATTATAGGTAGGGGCGGATTTAGAGGCCGGTGCCCTAGCTGGATTTGACGGGGAGATTTTTTTTTTGCTGATAATAAATCGAATTTTTAGATTATGTATTTGATAATTCATATTAACAACAAATATTTTTGTAAGCTTAGATGGTTAGCCCTTACATTATTGAATTGGAGGTCTTATGTTCGAAATTATTCAAGAGCAATATTTTTTATAATTTTTGTATTTCAACAATTTTTACCAAAACAAATGCAAGGAAGGTAATTCGAATTTGCTACCTTCTTTAAACATGTTAACCACTTTACCATCATGACACTAATTGATTTTAGCACATAATATAACAAAATAATATTTGTTCAATTGCACTGGTTTAATACTAGTAGAAACATTTTAATCGGTGTTTTGTCCCTCTTTTTGACTTTCTTTTTTTTTTTCTTTTCCTTTTTCCCTCTAATCAATTGATTTGAGAGTTTGGTCAATTGACGATGGATGAATTTGTAGAAAAATTATAAGGAATCTTTCAACAAAACTTATTTAATTAATAAAAGGTTCCACTTTTCGTTCACAAAAAATCGATTGCGAGAAAGTGGAATCATACAAGCACATAAATATTTCAATTTTGTTAATATAATAATGCTTATTTAATTAACTTTAATTGTAAATTGAATATTGGCATTTTGTTAATATATATTGCCTATTTAATTAAAAAATAAATTAGAGCATTTTACAGATTATGAAACGATTTTTTCATCCAAAATGAAAGTTCATAGCTAGTTCTAATTCTATTGGTGTATCTAGTTCTTCTAGTTCTAATCCGTACAATTTTTTGAATATTATTTAATTAAATATTAATAAACAATTTTGCTATCACGGACGTTAACTGTTGATAGTAAGCTTTCAATGCTCGCGATCCGCCCTAACTGAACTCGACGCCTGGATTTGCCCCTGATTATAGGCTGCACGTCTGTGTCACTGACCATAATGTCCCATTTTTAAATGTTATCACTTTTATCATTTTTAACAAACTGAATAAGTATATACTAGAAACATTCTCGGACAAAACACTAAAATAATAGTTACATCACGTTAGTCATCCTCGTCAATGTTTAACGACTACTCTAATGACTTAAATAGTTGGACATTCCATATACCGGAATTCTCACATCTTGCCAGTCCAAGGAAACGAATACAAGCAAACGACACACGGCGAGAATTATATCCACCCACCCCTCCAAGTTATTTTCACGATGGACAAAAAATTAGTGTCGAATATGATTAAGCTCCACATATTCCAACACCTGCTAATGCAATGCAATTTTCTGGCAGTCATTGTTTGATTTAGTAATGCATTCATTTGCAAAAAAATTGAAACATTGAAAAGGGAAACCAGAACAATATCGTGAATCCATGATTGAAGAAATGCAGCTACAAGTTAGCAGAAACTAGAATAAATCTATAAATCAATTCCTAGTATGTTATCTAGGTAAAGTAGTATAACCTGTAAATAATCTACTGAACACGCAACAAAGCAAATTTGAATATGGATTTCTCACAGAATATCTCGCTAGACACCTGCAGGAATAGTATGAGAAATTGGATATTGTCGTCCATTTCTTGATGATATCGATGCTTTGATTGATTGATCAAAACCAGAATCATCAATGGAGCTAGTGATACCCTTAGTTTCTGCTTCCTTCGATTTTCCTTCGTCAAAATGGGATGATACAAATTCATCATCCACATCTTCTTCAGACAGATAATTGAAGAAATCCTCCCCCGAATCAATGCTACAATAATCATGAAATGAGCTACTACTTAATTCATCATCACTTTCATATACTAACAAAAATGATTCAATCTCATTCAAATCTTCAACCTCCTCGAATTCTTCATCCCCATCCTCAACGACATCCACACCTTCTAAAAATGGATGATTCAATAACATTTCTGCTGTCAATCTAAACATCGGTTTCTTCACAAAACAACTCTTAAGGAAATTCCTTGCCTCCTTTGATATATCATTCGGAATTTTTGGCAAACCTTCTTTAATCTTACGAAGAATATCTTCTGCATCTGATTCGTTTTCCCCATCCCAAGGAGGTTTCCCAGTTAACATCTCAAGAACAATACACCCGAATGCCCAAATATCAGATGGAAACTCCTGCACATTTTCCACCACAGCCTCGGGAGCCAAATACCTTGGAGTGCCCCTCCAATAAGGCTCCAATTTCCTCTTTTTATTCCCCGGCACCCTCTTTGCCAACCCAAAATCGCCAATTTTTGCCCTAAACTCAAAATCCCCAGTTCTTCGGCAACTATGAACAAGTAAAACATTATCCGGTTTTAAATCACAATGAACGTAACCAATGCCATGAATATGATTCAATCCTTGAAGTATAGAACTTGCATATACCCTAACTTCAGATTCAGACATTCCATTGCCACCCAATTTCTTGATCCTATCCGCTAATGTTCCACCAGAACCATACTCCAAAAGCAGATTAAACACCATCAAACCATTCTCCCCCGTTGTTGTCTCTTCGCCAAAACACCTAATTATGTTAGGGCAACCTTTGACATTGCTGTAAACCTCCCTCTCCTTCTGAATTGAACCAGAAACTGAAACCTCGGCAGATTTTACAGCCATCACAGAAGGCAAACAACTGTATTTTGATCTGGGATTCTTCGAAGTAGCCAAATAAACCCGCCCAAAACCCCCTTTTCCAATCATTGCACCCCTAAACCATGCAACCCCGTCTCCATATTTCGGTAAACCCTTTTCTTGAATCTTTTCTTTTCCCTTCCAATCCATTGTACCTTCCTCTATATATCCTCTATACCTATTTACTGATTTTTCTTGAAATTGAATCAAATACGAATCTAAATTGACAACTTCAGATGATTGAATTGAACGTTCCTGAGAATAAATGAAGAACCCTATTAGTTTTCTGAGTTTTCTTTTCCTCCTGTTATGAGGCTAACAATTTAGGAAAATTTAGGGTGAGAATGGGGTAAAAGAATTAAATAATCACGCTTCTTGAAAGGAAATAACGTAACAGGAATAACGGTCGTGTGTATTGTGTCGTGTGGGTGATTTCCTTAGACAATTGACAACCCATTTTGGTTATGTCAGGTAATACTTATTCCATAGAACAAGATTGCTACAAAGAATCTTCGTCAAGATTATAACTGTAATAACCCTAAATGGAAGTCACTTCTAAACTGGATTAGCCTGATAAGAAAAAGGTACCTAATATCCTTTTAAAGTTAAGATGCACACGTTTTTTACGAGCTATTTAAGAGACTCAAAAGAATTAGTTTTTACAAGTTTTCCTTATTTAAGAGTAGCATTTACAACGTCTAAATTTCTGTTAGCTAGTTTATTCCACTGAATTAGTTTTCTGCTTTATCACATTCACAATGGAGATCCTATAAAAAAATTAGGAGTTCGTTGTTTGTATTGTCATGCCCGACTCCTTATCGTGATATTCTCATATTGGAAAATAATGAAGGTATTGAAATGTTAAGCAGGGTTACAAATATTTTTACCTAGTTGAGTCGGTGACTTTAACTAATGAGTCTTATACTTAAATCCTTCCACAACAAAATTCCTCCTCAAATGAGATTTTACTTTGATACTACTATTATCAGCACATTAGGTAGATATAGCTTTTGAAATTGGCATATAGCACCTCTAATGCATTCTATAAATAGCAATTTACGTGGAAACAAAATAAATTGACTTCAAATATATGCGACATTGTTGTCTAATTAAAAGAAAATCAAGTTCATATTTTGTCTTCAACGAATTCTTTCTGTAACTCAAATTTTTATCTCTGAATTTTTAATAGAAGCAAAAAAGAATAAATGGGAGAAATAGAAAGAGAAATGAAGTTTAAATTTTGCTGACCTACTCCATTTAACAAAGCCTCTACATCTAGATGAAGCTTTTCATAATGTCAATTCTTTCTTGCCACATCAGGTAGAGTAGTCCCATTTGGATTGCATTGAAAATGGATTTTTGTAGATGTTGTCTATTTTTGCTTATTAACAATTTGTTATGTGATTCATATTAGCATTGAATATGCACTTATAAATTGGGTAGCCTTCTAGACTTATTTAACTTACGACCTTGCACGAATAATGTTAAGTTCTAAAATTAGACATTATAAATATCTTCATACTCATTGACTATTTCATATACCACTACTAACTACTATAATATAAGTGATATTGGAGCCTGGGATGACGAGCAAGGTAAGGTATTACACGCTGACGTGAGATCGTCGACCCCTCATGAGCACTATACCTTTGCGTGAGACTATCGACTCTCCATGGATACTCTACCTTTACACGTGGCCATCGACCGGCGTGAAATTACCTACACGGCCACCCCAACACTTAGCCATAAAATCATTGATGAATTGATAAGGTTCACGTAACGGCTATCACGAGCACAACCTACTGGCGGGAAGATGAAAACCCCCGAGAAGGCTACGTGGGACACGTGGCACCACAGCTGCTCGGCACTCACCTGGCTTCTAACGTATATAAATACCCTGAAGGCGAAATAGGTATTAGGGAGAACTCTTTAGCTATATGAATTTCGTCATTTGTTTTTCCTAACACCATATACTGATTTTCACGTCGGAGGTAAAATTGGAGAGAAAGCCCTCCTTCATTTTTCAGGTTACATATGCTTATCGGAGTAGCAGGAACGCCAAATGCCACCAGGTGGATAAAAATGAATTCTTCCTCGGTTATTTCAATAAGAATTATTACTCATCAACAAATTTGCATATCATTAATAAGTTAAAAACCCCAATAAAAAAAAAATAGATGAACTATGTAGTTAACTTGGTAATTTTGTTCAAGGAATTCACATTAACTATAGTTAGCATTGTGATAGGTGCCTTCATTTTTTTTTTTTTTTTTTTGTGTGTGTGGTTTTGGTCGCTTTTGCTCAATGCTATAGTGTAGGAAATTTCTGAATCTCCAATGATTTTGATAAGGGTTCTTCAATGGGAGTGACTCCTGGATGTGTGTCAATGGTTATTTGATATGGTTGAGCTTGATTCTCAACAAAATCGAACAATTTAGTGACAATTACTCAGAAATAGAAAAGTAAATTCAACGCCCACTATATTAATTGCAATGACCAAGTCAATTACAACAATTAATAAAAAATGAGAGAAGATGATAACAGATAAAAGAAGAAGAAGAAGAAGAAGAAGAAGTTTAGAAAGAGAATTCAAAGAGGAAAAATGTACTAAAAAATTATGAGTCCACTTGTGAAATTATTTTAGGAAGAATGCACTTGATGAAAAAGGATTTTCAAATAAGTAGTACCAAACATAAGCTAACATAGCCCCTGTTTGAGTCCATTCTTTGAGAAAAAAAAATACATTTTCACACAGTGTTTTGACATTATTTTAACTACACATTTTTCAATAATATAATTTTATACACAAATTCAACATTTTTAATTATTTTTTAGCCACACATTTTTCACTAATATACTATTCAAAAATTCATTCTTATGAAAAGAATGGAGCTCAAATAAGGGCATAATATCATCTGAAAAAAATGATTCATAGCAAACAAATAAATATCATATTTGTGAAAAGACTTATAATGGATGTGGAAAGGATTAATAAAATTAGGAAAATTAATAATAAAATAAAGATAAAAGTTTGTAATTAAGTTGATATTTGTAACCAACAACACCACCCCTAATTCCTTATCTATGATTTCAAATATATTTTGATAAAAAATTTAAATAGAATTTCCTTCAAGGTTTTCAAATTTTCTTAGATTTTCAATTTTTGAAACTAATTTGAGCCTCCATTTGGCCCCCATTTTCTGAAAATGAAAAAGGGGAGAATACTACTTTTTTGAAAAATGGGTGGTTGAAAAAGAAGGAAAAGTTTTCGATTTACTAGTAATATTATTTTATGGAAGATTGTGTGGTTGAAATTATGAGAGAGAAAAATGGAATGTAATGTAATTGAATTTAATGATGACCAGTTTTGGGGAGTGTGAGAAAGCAGGTCAAGGCGGGAATATACAATGATTTGGGCTTTAAGCGGGTCAGGTTTGAACCCAGATCCAATATAATTATCCAAACGGACCAAATCCAACAATACTATTCAACATGAATGACGGGCGAGTTTAAGCCTCTAGTTGATATTTTCAATTTTAAAGAGAAATTGACACTAGTAGCACTAAAGTTATGTTATTAACGTTGTCTTTCCTAGACTTTCGCCGTAATACTTCTTGTTTCATGTAAATACGCATTTTAAGATTATTTTTATTTTTATTTTATTTTTGGTTTTAAATGGCCCAGTTCAAGGGAAAAAGGTGAAAATGGCTAGCTCTTCATTTTTATTATCCATGTTTGGAAAGTACCATTTAAATTATAAATATATATAAACGAGTGGTGAATAAGTGAACATTACTCATATGGATAAAAATGACTTTTTTATAAGCATGAACCATCATAGGCTGAACGTCTGTGTCATTGACCATAATGTCCCCTTTTTAAATGTTATCCCTCTTATCGTTTTTAACAAACTGAATAAGTATATAGTAGAAACGTTCTCGGACAATATACTAAAATAATAGTTACATCACGCTAGTCATCCTCGTCAATATTTAACTACTACTCTAATAACTCGAATAGTTGGACATTCCATGTACCTGAATTCTCACATCCTGCCAGTCCAAAGAAACGAATACAAGCAAACGACACATGGTGAGAATTATGTCCACCCACCACTCCAAGTTTTTTTCACCATGGAAAAAGAATTAGTGTCGAATATGATTAAGCTCCACATATTCCAACACTTGCTAATGCAATGCAATTTCTGGCAAACATAGTTTGATTTAGTAAATGCATTCCTTTGTAACAAATTGAAACGATGAAAAGGGAACCTACAACAATATCATGATTGAAGAAATGCTACAAGTTAGCAGAAACTAGAATAAATCTAAAAATCAATTCCTAGTATATTATCTAGGTACAGTAGTATAACCTGTAAAATAATCTATTGAACACACAACAAAGCAAAATTGAATATGGATTTCTCACTGAATATCTTGCTAGACACCTGCAGGAATAGTATGAGTAACTGGATATTGTCGTCCATTTCTAGATGATATCGATGTTCTGATTGATTTATCAAAACCAGAATCATCAATGGAGCTAGTGACACCCTTAGTTTCTTCTTCCTTTGATTTTCCTTCGTTAAAATGGGATGATACAATTTCATCCTCCACATCCTGTTCAGATGAATAATTGAAGAAATCCTCTCCCGAATCAAAGCTACAATAATCTTGAAACGAGCTACTACTTAATTCATCCTCACTTTCATATACTAACAAAATAGATTCAATCTCATTCAAATCTTCAACCTCGTTGAATTCTTCATCCCCATCCTCAATGACATCCAAACCTTCTAAAAATGGATGATTCAATAACATTTCTGCTGTCAATCTAAACATTGGTTTCTTCACAAAACAACCCTTAAGGAAATCCCTTGCCTCCTTTGATATATCATTCGGAATTTTTGGCAACCCTTCTTTAATCTTACAAAGAATATCTTCTGCATCTGAATCCTTTTCCCCATCACCGTCCCAAGGAGGTTTCCCAGTTAACATCTCAAGAACAATACACCCAAATGCCCAAATATCAGAAGGAAACTCCTGCACATTATCCACCACAGCCTCGGGAGCTAAATACCGTGGAGTGCCCCTCCAATAAGGCTCCAATTTCCTCTTTTTGTTCCCCGGCACCCTCTTTGCCAACCCAAAATCGCCAATTTTTGCCCTAAACTCACAAACCCCGGTTCTTCGGCCACTTCGAACAAGTAAAACATTATCGGGTTTTAGATCACAATGAACATAACCAATGCCATGAATATGATTCAATCCTTGAAGTATAGACTTTGCATATACCCTAACCTCAGATTCAGACATTCCATTGCCACCCAATTTTTTAATTCTATCGGCTAATGTTCCTCCAGAACCATACTCCAAAAGAAGATTAAACACCATCACTCCATTCTCCCCCATTGTTGTCTCTTCACCAAAACATCTAATTATATTAGGGCAACCCTTGACATTGCTCAAAACCTCCCTCTCCTTCTGAATTGAACCAGAAACTGAAACCTCGGCAGATTTTACAGCCATCACAGAAGGCAAACAACTGTATTTTGATCTGGGATTCTTCAAATTAGCCAAATACACACGCCCAAAACCCCCTTTTCCAATCATTGCACCCCTAAACCATGCAACCCCATCTCCATACGTAGGCTCACCCTTTTCTTGAACCATTTTATCTATTTCGCAATTTCCTTGAAATTGGATGACGAAGAAAACCTCCCAATTTCTCAGTTTTTGACAAGGATAGGGAACGAAACAACCTATCAGTTAACAGAATTTTTTCTTGTACTTCTGGGGCTGTTAAAGGAAAATTTTACTTTAGGGCTTGGATAAATAACAATCTAGGCAGGGGTGCGGTGGTGTGGGTTGGGTGGGAACCGTGGGGTAAAGAATGAAACATCCGCGTTTCTTAGAAGTAGAAAATTTTTATAACAGGAATAACGGTCATGTGCGCTTGTTTTTCTTTAACGCGTGGGCGGTTTCTCTTTCGGCAATTGACAAGTTGGAATAGTCAGAGAGCTGACAAACTTTGACTGCCATTACAAGTCAGAATTTCAATTGCTAACCCGTTTTCTGTACACTATTCCTTGAATCAACAAGGAATGCTAAGAATCTTCAATAATTCTAAAACTTGCTTTTCACTTGTAAGCTAATTACCCAAACATTCACTGTCTTAGCTATAACCATGGTTGGTGTCCTCATCTCGAATAATGTGGTAATCGGTGCAATACTTGCTTTATGCCTTTCCTCATTACTTTCCTCGTCAATCGTTACTTTGCATGCAAGGTTTCCAAATCCATCTTTTTCGAATTCTTCAAAATGAACCTTAATAGGTAGGTGATGCGTTACTATAAATGTTGAATTAGACAATAGTGAGGAGTCGTTTATGTTAATAATGAGATTCAATGTAAATGTCTTAACCAAGAAAATGTCAATTATTTTCCCATGACTAAAGACACCATTAATGTTTTGAAATTTTGTTATCAAAAAGCTTAGAATCGTGAGATGGGATCGGATGATGGGGAATGAATTCCATTTTTCTTTCTAGTTTTTTTTCCCCTCCAATTGAATGGTCTAGATAAGAGATTTGGTCACATGAAGATGATCCAATCGTGTCACTTGACGAAATTGAAATTAGCTGTCAACGTGTACAAGTCCAATTTCTGTCACTTGACATGAGATTCAATTTAATCAGCTTGCTGGCTGGCAACATAATTAAATATCTCTGTCTGAATCATACCTAACTCCACTCTCTAGAACTTCTTTTGTTCCTTGACATGAGTTTGGAAATCAATTTGTTTTCTGGTGATAGCCCAAAAAGATAAAGCAAAAATGACGAACTTCATGTTTCACAAATGACAAAAGAAATGCGAGGACTTTTTTGATTGGTCTTGAGGCGTAATTTTTGGTACAGTGGTGGAGAAATATATGGCCTCAAGGAAGAACAGCAACACTATGCTGATATGTATTGGACTTTCTGGTGTGAATGAAAGATCACTCTTGCCATAACAGGCACTTCTGTTCTGTTGGCTAATGAGGTTCCTCCAAACCTGCAAATGTGTCTTAACAGTCACTGACTGGGCTATAATTGTCATTATAGCAGCACAAAAGAAGGAAAAAAATAAAATAATTGTGCCAATGCGTTTCTTGTACTACTTAGCATGCAACGGAGAGAGAATGAAGAGTATACAGCCATCAGCTCCCTTATCTACAATCCCATAATATTATGCTAAATGACAATCAAACTGCATTGACGTTAATATACTAGCTAGCAGTCACACAGGTTTCTATAATAAAATGGGCAAGAATTTTGAAAAATAACAAAATTACATTATAGGTCACAGCAACTACATCAAAATTTTGAAAATAACAAAACTACCCAGTTCCATTATGTCAACAAAGTGATTGCAACTTGCAAGTGAAAGGGATCATTGAGATACCTTGCCGTTTTGTATGAAGAGGAACAGCAGGAATAGGATGTGGAATATACTTCTGTTGGTAAGTTCCGGAATGATGTTTAACAAATTGAGAAACTATCTTCGGGCGTTGAACTAATGGAGCAGCCAGAGAATTTTCATTTGCTCTTCTTGAAAGAGATGGCGGATAAAGAACACTAGAAGCCTGACTTTGGAAATCTCCTTTTGCAAGTGGAATAACATCACCTGTAAAGTAACAAAACTTACAGCCATTGTCATGCGATGCTGTGCCTAGAAATAATTAAATGTTTATCAAAGTAGATGCATAATAAATAGCTTTATTATAATCATCTTTAGGAGATTCCTTAGACAGCTGAGTTGGCACATGAGGTTTTCCTAGAGTACATAATTAAATGATAAATTATATGCGAATTCAAATGATCTCATTTTGAAATACAAAGCATATTAAAAATTAAATAATATCAGTAAGGATTTTCGTTGTAAGTACCTGCAGCAACTGAGAGTCTACAAGGATTAATGTGAGCAGAGAGAGACTTGAGGAGGGCCTGGTAAAAACAAAAGTGATCTCAAAGTCACAGAGATCAGGGTAATGTAACACATTCAAGATCAACAACTAGGAAACAAAAACAGAGCATTGGCAAGTTGAATAGCAAATACGCATGGCCATTGGATGTCCAACAGGTTTTTAAGGATAAAGAACCAGTTGACAATTTTGAATCTGATGCAGGTCATCTGAAAAATATTATCAAATACTACGTGAAAATTGACACAGGAGCAAAGGCAACCTACTCTTTTCCCAGGTTTTGCCCTATTGCCCTTGCTTTATATACGTACTAGTGAATTCTCGGCCACTTTGACATTTTTTCACCATTACAGTACATTTGTAATCAGTGGAAGAGAAACCATAACTTGTGTTTCTGATAGCTCTTCAATAGCAGTTACTGCTTGCATATGCCAGGTAAATCCTTTCGACCCAGAATATTTTGTCTCCGTCATAAATTTTTGTCTTTCCTTTGCAAGGAAAAAAACCATTTACAAGAATTTGAACATTATGACTCCAGGCAGTTAAATCACCTTTTATTATAGTCCAGAACCCAAACCTTAACAAAGAGAAAGTCTGTCCTATATGACAAATGTCAGGCCACGTGTATTTGCATGTTAATTGAGGGTAACCTTCAGCAGCTCGAGAACCAATATCATTGGGTTGAACGCCTACCTATCAGGGAATGGACCTGCAGCAGATTGGGTAGTGTTACTTCCTGAAAGTTGGATCCCACTTCTCTCAGGAATCATACCATACCCAAGGGCTTGGACAGAGCTAACATTACGACTAGCTGACCTGAGGAAAGTAGTCCAAAAAAAATTGCATCAAGTAATGTATTTATCGTCCGGTGGTATTAAATACATTGATGGTACTCATCAGCTCGACAAAACTGGATAGTTACTTGTAAAAGACCCTTAAACACTGAGACTGTGGCTCTATTTATGAAAAATCAAAATCTTATTCCGAATAAAATCGGGGTCTACTACTCTAATCAGTTTTATCCATTGCCAAATTACTCTATCTATATAGATCTTTTCATTGGTCCAATAAGGAAGTTGAATTCCCAAAGGGGAACTGAATGAATAAATCAGAAATTTCTTCTAATATTTGCTTCATAAGCTCTAAAATATTTGAGCTTCCTCAGCAAAAACCAATTTTCATGTGCACAAAAGAATATAGGAAGAAGGTTGAGTCTTCCTGCTTTTTGTTACATTCTCAAGTCCAGGAATTCCAACAATTTGTTTAATCGATAAAAAATTGTGACCCTGATCTTGCACACCCTCCTGTCACAACAAAGGAAAGAGGGGAAAGAACAATAAGTAGAATGTGGTTCAAAGGCTTCTCTCATATATTTGTTCATATGTTGATTTATATTCATTTGAGAAAATTCCAACTTTGTACAGTGGAATTGACTAGGTGTTCCCCTGCAAAATTGAAACTATTTATTATATCTCAGATCTTCTTGAAAACCTTGTCTTCAGCTTCGTCATAAAAATTTTTGGAGTTCTCGTTAGTAATTTCAATTTATCTGGGATATGCAAACAAGATCCTGTTCTCATTGGCTTGATCCTCTAGCTTGCCAGTTTCTCATTGAACAACAAGTACGAAATAATCAAATTATTTAAGAGTGTGTCCCAATCTTTTCCTTATTATTTATGTACATAAGTAATATTTGAACATTTACAAACAGTGTAGTAGAACAAAATGATGGCGCACTTAATTGTTTGATAAAAGTGGAAAAACCCAAATCTCAACTAGCAAATAAGTAGGAATCAAGGAACTACTTACCTGCCCATCTTTAGCAAATAACTTCTAGCATTATAGATACCTGACGACAGGAGAAAATCAGTACACAGCCAACATTGAACCCCGAAAATTGCAAAGTTATCAGTTCAATATTAAATTGTGGAATTGAAAAGCAAGCTTAAATGTGACTAACCTAATTGAGCATACCTTCTGGAGCTTCCTTGATTCCAGAGACGGTGGAAATTCATGGAAAACTCTCAAGAGACTCCCATGGAACTCTCTATATCCGTTGCTAGTGAGGTGTTAATAGATCCAAAAACATGGTAAGCTTAGCTGAATCTGACGCCCTAACAGACCACCTAGCACATTCAGGACCGGAAATGAAACTGCAGCCAAAAGGCATTAAGGATGGAGCCATACCAACTTGAAAATCTGAATATCTAACTCTGTTTACAGAATGATTAGGATGTTACTCAGGTCGTAAAGTCAGAAAAGTGTGGAATGGGAGTGACTTTGGCCCTGTGTTGTGTCTATCAATTCCAACATCATTACAATTGAAGATCTGGCCACCTAAAATTTCATGATGAACTTGAAAGCCCCCCAGCACTAGTTTGGAAGCTTTAAGTTCTAACAGAAAATTCTGTACGAATCAAAAGGGTTTCTTGTAGTTGGTCTAGCATGACATTAATAACTGGAAGAATTAACTTCATCCAATTTATTGGCAATCTCTCACGTCCTGAATCTTCTGAGGAACCTGGTTTCTGGATTAGCTTCAGTTCTGAGTGTCTCTTCCATCAAATTTTCCTGGAGAATCAAACTGAACAAAGCTCTTATCATGGTGCCACATAGATGTGGGAGATCCTAAATTGGAAAAAGTTCCACTTAACTGTGACCTAATAAGGTTACTAGCTTTTGGTCCTTCTCCCTGTATGGTCATTGGATGATCTGTGAAAGCCTCGCCTCTCACTGGCATAAATTTCATATTATTCCTCCGGGTGCTTATAGTCAGAGGAAAAAACGCCTCCATTCATTAAACAATCTTTGGTGTTCATATTATTTCCATCAATCAACTGTCTTGTAGTCACTTCAGGATGTGAAAGTTCTGATACTCCAGGGAGCTTAGAGACATTGCTACTGACATGGATCAAATCTGAATTAGCCAGGAGATTTGATAAGCCACTGGGGTTAGCAAAACAATCCTTCATAATATTCAGTATTCTGGTTGTGGGTAAGAGCAACAAGTTACTTGAATGTCATCTCGAGGAGAATGGGCACAAGGCAGATGCATGTATCAAAATGACAAAAGGTCAGCTCCATAAGCTCCATAAATAGTAGCTCCACGAGTTATTTTACTAGTAATAGCGGCTACACTTGGCCTACTGGTGACTACAAAATTGCCATGTCTTTCTAGTGGAGAACTCAGGGCAGGTGGATTGTCAATTCCCATTGATTGTCTCGAACTAAACATACAATTATGCAGAAAGAGTGATATCAGCATTCCAGTTACAAAAACAGATATTTATGTACATAGAACAACAGATGGTATGTTATATGGATAATGGAGCGTCACTAAAATCTACTATTTAAGCCCGTGTTTGAGCCCCATTATTTGGTAAAGAATGTATTTTGGAATAGTAGATTGATGGAGAATGTGTGGTTAAAAAGTAAGAAAAATTTTGGGTTTGTGTGTAATATTATTTTATTGAAAAATGTATGGTTGAAAAGAAGAGAGAGAAAAATATATTTTGGATATAATGGAGATCAAACAAGGGCTAAAACTTCCAATAAATAACTAAAGGAGTATATGCAATAATTATAATATATCTTGTCTTCTTTAAAAGTCTGAAGTAGTATTTCAATCATAATGACTTGAGAAGGAGCGAACAACATCATAAGCCAAGAAACATTTGCTGAGGTGGTAATCTTGACAAAAATCCGGACAAACAATATTCTCTTCATAACTGTGAACCTTGATTAATTAAGAAGAAAGAACTAACAAAATCCTCAGAATTGAAGACACCGATACTCCAAAAGAGAAATAAATAAATAAAACCGGAAAAATATGATACCAAAAAACATTCCAAGCACTGCACTCTTCCATTGCAAGTTAAACACCAACATCAGTTACGTACTAAAGACAAATGATAAAAATTGGTTACACATCTTGGAGGCATTTCCAAGACTAGTACTAATATCAGCTTTACTTGAATTTTACCAAGCAATGGTCTCCCTCTTCCATAAAGCTAAAAATACTAATCATAAGTAAAGGGAAGCCAGAATATCACATAACTATAGGATTTCAGAAAGGAATTGAAAAATTAAATGTATGTGCCATATCCAATCGATTAGTTCAGATAAAAGATTCAAACTTGTATTTACAAACGACACACACACAAACCCACACACAAGTATAAAACTTTGCTCATGTTTATGCACAAAACAAGAATATTCCGCTCCATATATAGATCACTACTACATAAGCCAATGAAACTTTAAGTTTAGCCAGGATCTCAAAGATATCAAACCTACAATCAAGTTTTTCACCCTTTAATTGATGAAAAACCTATCAATCCACCTAAAAAATATTCATTAATAGACAGTAATATGACAATTATAGCAAGCAGAGGTCTATTAAAAACACAGAGATAAGTTTTTGCACATTATTTATAGCTTAAAGATCATAAGAACATCGATCACAAATAAAAAAATAGTAATAATAATAATAATAATAATTATCCCCATTCAAACCCATAAATAATCCCTTGATTATTCCATCACAACTAAATCCAAATTACCCATTAGCAAATACTCGAAATAAACTGCCACAAGATGAAAAAATTAAACAAAAAAACCAAACATAATTCAGCTTCACCATAACATCATCAATTAATCTTATTCAGCATGAAATTATTCACCATAACATCATCAATCAATAGATTAATCCAAATACCTCCCACCCCATATAATATAATGTATGCATATATCAGAGTGTGCCTGCGGGCGAAATTACCAGGGGTGAAACGACGAGATCCGCTATTTGATTTTTTGATGGGGTGAAGTTTCAGAGTGCTTATACGATGAGCGGTTACGGCATCTTCAATGGTTGCACGATTGCACCATTTTACACCATTATTTGGTACAAAGTTGGTGTTTTGGTGCAAAGTTGGTCCAATGAAACAGCAAATTTGCACCATTTAAAGTGAATACACCATTTTTTGCTACAAATGGTGCAATATCTTTTTTTTTTTTTTTTTTTTTTTGG